CGGGAGGCGGGGCAGAGGGCTGAAGAAAGTGTTGCCTTAATTCCGAGGGATGAAGCAGGGAGGGGGCGGTTATAAGGATGAGTCCTCGCTTAAATTTATTTCAAAGTGTAAGGTAAGGGTTTACACCTGGAACGTGGGCTGAGGGTGAGATATATGAGTACCTATAAAAAGTGCCTGAAGCACACATTTCAAAATAAGAAACGTAAGAATGCTTACCTTTTGGATGTCTTGGGCGGTTTCTGAAAAATGAAAGGTTTTTTTGTTAGGTTTGTGGGTTAAAAATGTATCTCACCGATAGGTAAGCACTCATATTTTATAGGACTTTTAAACTTATTGTTCATAATGAGAGCCCAAGAGGCTTCTGGGCCCTTTAGACCTAATTTTCAGAAAACATGTCTCAGTTACCTTGGTTATATGCCCTGTACTATAGAAAACAACTTACACATCTGAGTGGTAAGCGTCTTCCTTAATCCCTGAGAGCAATGGACCGATTCATGTTAATAAATTTCAAAAGCTTCCCCCCAAAATATGTATTATCTGAAAAAAATCCACATGGCCTAAGCCATGAAAATCACTTAAAGATAAGACTATATTTCTGTTCATTTTAAAGCAGTTTATTGGTTACAACTGAAAGGTAGTATTTTATAAACAAAGTCACCTTGGCACTGTGCCAAGGAGTGGATTCTGGGGATCAATTTACAGAGCCACATCCTTATAGAGACTCTTATAGATACCTTAATTATGTGCATCTCATCTTTAAAAACTGCTTAATTACAGAAGCATGTAAAGTAGGAAGTGATCGAACCCTCTCCACAAATCCCAGCCCACAGAGGTAACTGAACTTTGCAGTTTGGTGTTCATCTTTCCAGGTCCCTGCCAGCTGCCCCCATCCCACCACAAAGCACAGTTTTTGCTTTTTAAATAAAGGTGCAATATGCAACATTGCATTTCCTGCTAAATATATGTGGACACTCTTGTCAGTACAAAGACAGGTACTTCTTTCTTTCTGATGGCCGCAGAATATTCCCTATAATGAGCATTTCAACTGTAAATTAACACATTTTGCTCCAAAACGCTTACAGAAATTTACACACCAACAGTTTCAAAGTGCCTGCTTTTCTATATCTTTGGGTCAAGCTCACGGCTTTTGCCACCTCTATTTATCTCCCTTAAAGGTATGATTTTTCTGATCGCTAACATGGGTGACCATTTATAAATTTTATGGGCAGTTTGTTTCTTTTGTGAAACTGCCCAACTATATTGTCTGCCTTTTAAAAAAGGGTCCTTTGTCTCTTCTTTTTGATATATGAGATTTCTTTTTATGATAGGGTTATTAATCTCTTTACGCCTGTTATCTATATTGCAAACATTTTATGTCATTAGGCTTTACATTTTATAACAGGGCACTATTACTTATAGAAGTTAATCAAATCTGTCCATCTGTAATTCATCTGGTGCTTTTTGTGTGTGGATGGTCTGACTTAGTGGATATCAACAAGAATGAAAAAGAAAAGATATTTTAGGACTTACCACTGGTCTTCAAAACTTTATGTGATCTTGAGGAAGGTTCTGGGAGAGAGAAAAAAAGGCGATCATCAGTTGCAAAACCAAATCAAGAGTTTTTTCTTTGTAACTAAATTTTTAGTGTATGGGCAAATTAATTCCACTCTAGAAATTTTCTATCAAATTTACCTAAATCCCTGTTGTTTAGACAGCAAGACACTTACCTCATCAAAACTGTAAGACAAACATTAAGCTGTGCAATCAGAAGTCACATAACAAACCTCAAATGCCAACTGCCAGTCTGACCTTTCCCCAGCGTTCCCACACCCAGCAACCACCACAGATCCCAACCTCAGTGCACCAGTCCCCCCCACATCTGCCCCTTCCTCTGTATTTCTTATCTGACATTACCCTCCCAAGCTACCGACCAGGACATCACTCTAAATCCCTCCTGTTTTCACCCATTGGTCTTGTGGGATCCTGCTAATGCTCCCCCAGTTGCTACTGTCTTAATCCAGCCTTCACCATCTCTCACCCGGACTAGGGGGACGGCTTCCTCCCTGGTCTCCCTGCCTACTTCATTTTCCACATCGAGCCAGAATTCTGTTTTCACTGCTTGATATCCTTCCTTGGCGTGCAGGACTGCATTCAAACCCTCTGTGCAGCCTGCCCCCCTTCCATGTCCAGCCCCTCTCTGATCTCCCACCACATCTCTCTCTGTTGCACCTTCCCCC